TATCAATGTTGAAAAAATGTTGATACTTATACATTATAGTGATTTGTGAATCATGATAGTTAAATATATATATATATATATATATTGTTCCTGACTTGATTACAACTTGTACAATAATTTTTAAAAACTCAAAATTAATTTCAATTATTAATAATTATGAACTTACAACTAACTAATATAAAAAGAAAAAAACTTTTTCTACTCATCATCTTTCTTCTCTTTCTGATTCTTCTTATCATTCTTCACAATTCACTTCTCATTCTTCTTCTTCTTCTCCTTCTCCTCATCTGAGATGATAATCATCTCAAAATCTCCCTCTGCTGCCTTCTCAGAGAAGGGTTCCTGCTGCTCTCTCTCAGTCAGGTCAACCTGTGCCTCAAAATCCCGCATTTCCTGGTCTGCTGCCTCAGGTTCCACCTCAGTGGCAAGCAGATTGACATGCTCAGAGAGCAGGGCTGCCTCCTCAATGTTCTGAATCATGGAGCGCATTCGAAACCTGAACAAGGCCTCAATTCCCTCCTTCTCTGCTAGCTCCTGCTAATCAATTAGAGAACAGAAGTGTTATCAAAAATTATTATCTCTCAATAAATAAAAAACCTACCAGTTTTGACTTCTTTGTCTTCTGCTTCAACACTCTCTCAATTTTCTTCTATCACTACTTATTTACAGCAACACTCTTCTTCTCTCTCCCTCTCTTCATCTTGGTCTCAAATCATTCTCAGGACTTCTCCTGGTCTCACTGCTGCTGTATGAGGCTCTTCACTGTCTTCTTCTTCAATCTCTCACAGGTGGTGTCATTCACATTATTTCTATACTTAGTTCAGTCTAAATCTATCAGAAGTGTTACTTAAAATTATTATCATTCTGCTCTCTTACAGAGCCTCTTCAAGGCATCATAATGTGTCTTGCAATCTGTCTTCTCTTGCTTGAACACCTTCTTCTCCTCTCCCTCCAATCTGTGACAGCGCTCACGCGCCTTGATGGTTCGCAGGACCGCAGAATATTTGAAGAGAAATGACATGATTGGTTTCAATAAGCATTGAAGAGAGGTGAAGGCAGAAGAGGCGGCCAGAAATGATATGATAATAGTGATGATGATAATGATGATGATGATGATAGTGATGATAGTAATGATGATGATGATAGTGATGATGATAATAATAATGATAATAATGATGATGATGATGAAAGAGAGAGTGCATTGAAATATATTACTGACTTATCAAATATAAAGAGACTCAAAGAAAATATTAACAGCTTTCAGTGATGTACAGAAACAGCTACAGTGTTGCATAACAACATCATCTTCATTCAATGCATACACTGTTGATATTCTTTGTATACAGTTATTATATAATCTGTATCAGAGATACATGCAGAAAACAGATCTTTGTTACTAGAATAAATGATTGCAGCAATTCTCTGTTTTCATATTATAAAGATAAGTTATTCTCATTTCTTTCTTCTCTCTTTTCCCTTCTTCAATCAATCACTAATTCCAAGCTGGTATGAAAACTATTAAAACACTCTCAGAAACCCTCAAATTGAAAAGTATAGACTAATCAAATTTCAAATGCAGAAGAAATCAAATTATCTTCTATAGATTCAATTACCCACCCCCCCTCAAATAAAACAGCAGTCGCGTCCCCCCCCCCCCCCAATCAAACAAAACATGGCCCGTGAAAAGTGAGTACCACGCCAGGCCATAATGGCCAACACGGCCCCAGCACGCAGGGCTGCATATGCGCAGCGTGTGCTGGACTGAGAGACTGCATGGGTTGCAAACTGACGGCAGCATCCCAGGGAGAGCCATGCAGCGTGGGAAAGCTGCAACTCTCAGCCACATGCGCAGAGAGTGAATTGCTGCAGTAAATGCATGTGCATTGAAGTAATGCTTTTTGATAATGCTCAGTCTCTGATATGATGAAAATAGAGTCTCTTCATGAGATCTGTTTCTACCAGAAGTCAGAGAATCTTATATTTCCTAAGGCCATCTTCACACGCCTTGTCTGTGAAATTGATGAGAGAAATCATCAATTTCAGTATTCTGCCCTTGATGTCATTCAAGTGGCAGCAGAGTCCACCCTGACCACACTTTTTGAGTGTATATTTTCTAATTATTCACATTTATATAGATATATACTGATTATTTGTTAGATAATGTTAAGACAATAACTCATCACAGCTGTGTTACCCTCACTGTGAGAGATACACAGTTGATGATGAACATTGTAAAGACTCTGAGAAGTGAGTATTTTAAAAATACTGTGACTCTATAATCTTGATTTTTTTTTATTTTTATTTTTTATTTTTTTCTTTTTCTTTTCTTTTTTTTTTTATTTTTCTTTCTCTTTCTATCTCTTTTTTTCTTTCTCTTCTTTTTTTCTTTCTCTCTTTTTTTTTTTTTTTTTTTATTGTGATTTTTTCTTGTTGTTTTGTTTTTTGTTTTTTTGTTATTTTTTGTATTTTACATTTTTTTTTTAATTAAAATGATATTGATTATGATCTGTGTTCAGAAAAGTAATGATATTTAATAACACTCTCTGTTGAATTTTCAACAAATAAGTACTATGTTATGATATTATTATAAGTGAGAAATGATTTCATAGTTTCATTTGATGTCATTTTCAATAATGAGATCAGAATGAAAATGTGACTAAGAATTCAAACATATTCTTTATCTGAGACTAGATTTTTATTTGAAAAGTGAATCTGAGACCTTTAATATTTGAAATAACAGGATTTGAGATCAATGTGATGAACACAAATCATGATCAGAAGTAATGCTTTTAGACAATATGACAACTGTAAAGTTTGATCCTGGTCTCAGACACGGTCACATGATCAGTTTAGTCCCACTATTCTACTGTGCACCCGTCAAGGTTCTAACAATATAGAGTCAAGCCTAATGTAGTGGTTATACACTACTTAAGCAAGTCCCTAACTAGGGCCGCCATCGGAGCCTAGCTCCCCCTCAAATACAGGGAATGATTTTAAAAACCACCTGACTAGCAGGCCTAGACGCGCATCTAGGCCCTAGACAGGGCACTCTGATAGGCTAGAGCCTGCAAGCTCACTGCCAGCCTCTAATACTGGCAGGGAGGACTGCAGTCATCCAGCCTATGATTAGTCTCTAACACGGGGCGAGGCCATGACGGCTGATTGGTAGGCCTATGAGCATCTAATGAGGCCGAGATCAGCAACCGGAAGCTTGGTGTGTACGCCACCAAGTGGGCGGTAGCAGCCACTAACTAACACCCCTGGAAATTAGTGGCTGGCCCGAGAGGACGGACGCGGTGGTCGGTTAATTATAGAGGGTTAAATGTAATTAGCTTAAGGTGCATCGTGCGGGTGGCTAGCGCCCGTAGTCTCATAAAAGAGGAAATAGTTTGAAAGAGGCATGAATATTCTCTGATAGTCAAGCTGCTTTAAAAAGACTTAGAAATAGTCAGATTCATAATGATCAAATGAATCTTAAACTGATCTTAAACTCTGTTTTGAAAATTCAAAAGAGAAGAACATCAAAGCTGATAATTCATTTACACTGAGTTTCTGCTCATATGAATATTCATGGCAATGAATTGGCTGATTCAGCTGCAAAAAAGGGTGCAGAATTAAGCAGATCTGTTCAAAAAGTTGTGTCCTGGTCTTTTATAAAGAGAAAAATAAAAGAATCTTGTTTAGACAAGTGGAATGAAAGCTGGCAGAAATAAAAGAAGAGTATATATTATTCAAGATTTGAAACAAAACCCAAGTGGAAATCTTGTTCAATTAAATGTAAAAAGAAAATATTCTCATCTATAATACAGCTGAAACTAGGACATGGCTATTTCAAATCTTATATACAAAGATTTGATGATAGATTTGACTCAATAGAATGCTCATTCTGCAATGCAAATGAGAATTCTGAGTATATTGTAATGCACTGTGCATTATACAATAGTCTCAGAGTCAGATTGAAAGAGAAGTATGATCTAAATCAATTAAATATGAGATTCTTATTCTCAACTGAGACAGGAATTAAATATTTAATAGACTTTCTATCAGAAACTCAAGCAGCTACAAGAAAATGGCTAAATTTAGAATTATCTGAATATGAAGAGGAGGAAATCAATCAGATATAGTCTGTTAAAACAGCTATATACTATCTTTTAATAATTTGTTTTATTACAGTCTTTCTTTACTTTATCTTTTCCTTTCAATTTCTTTCTGTCTATCTATTTAATATGTCTATCTTTAAGACTGTGTTCTCTTTTCCTTTGTCATGATATTGTCAAATGATTTCAAAGTATCAGAAGATGTTAAAACACTGCAATTTATAAACAGTTTTTGTATTCTGAGCTGGAATTTTCTGATTTTGCATATCTGAAATTGATGAATGTATAATAGTTAACTTTACAGATATAGGAAAAACCCTGAGAACTAAAAGTTCTCAGGTAGATGTCATAGTCTCTGACTGCATACATCTATAATTGAAGAATAATAATAATAATAATAATAATGCAACGCATTCTCTCTTTTCCAATTAGCTGGTCTTGTTTTGATGTTCCAACCTCTAAGGTTTTCATGCTGAGGTGAACAGGTGTGGTAAATGAGATGATAAATGTGCTGGTTGGGATCTTTGAAGTGACTATTTCTTGAATTCGGTATGCCGGCACTGTCATATTCTTGGCTTTGAAGAGAGTATTCAATGCTGCCTGTACATCCTGGGCTGAATCCATGGATCCTCTCAGTAGTTGGTAAGTATAGGGTCCGGTTCCACCTATGTCACTGAACTTGGCTAACACAACATCAACCTTTTGCTCATTTACTTCAAACTTGACATTCTTTAGTTTTTGCAGGTCTAAATCTCTTTTACTTTGGCTTTTATACACAATTACATAGAAGCTTGTGCTGGAGAATGTGATTCACTGAACACCTTTCTCTGATTTTTCTGTCAAAAAACTAAACAGCTGTTTATAGGCTGTTGCGCGCTTTGAGGTTGCCTTGTTCAGAGAGGCTCAGATTGATTTGTCATCTGCAATTAATCTCGCTTTGTCAATCTCTGATAGTCTTGCATTATAGGCAGTCTTAGCAGTGCTTGATAGTGTTTTGAGGTTCTGAATATATGACTTTGCTTTTTTTGAGATCACAGATTCACTAGTCTCTTGAGCCATTTCTACATCTGAGGCTTCATTCTCTAGATCTACTTTACTTTTTTCACCTGGGCCTACTGAATCAGCTAGACTTGCCTTATTCATGAGAGAAGTGGCTTGATCATTTGCATTTTCCTTCAGAGCCACTTGGGTTATTTTAGAAGTTTTTTTAACTTGAGTTGTGAGACTCAGTGAGATCTATGATGTGTGACATGTTGATTAATTCTTGTTGACCTAACTAATAGCTAATATCTGCTTGTACAGAACTATCTCTGCCTCAGCGCGGCTGTGCTTCTTCACTTTCTTATTCTTCTTAGAGCTATCTAGACAAGGGGTTAATTCTTTTTGAAGATTTCATCAATTCCTTTATTTCAGAACTTACTTCATTCTCTTTTTGAAGTTGATGTAGAAGTCATGTTTCTATGTTAATTAGTTAAAAGTAGTGACTGGGATTTAGAGCTGCCACCTTTGCATATTCAACACAAGAAGATTACAGAGTTTGTACTTACAATCTTGTATTGTCTGAGATGTTATCTGTTTATTTAGTTAGTATTACATTTAATGTATTGTACCGTGCTTGAGAATGATAGCTTACTTCATATTATAAAATTAAAACAGGGAAGTTGACTTTGATTCAGTTATGCTTGTATTGATATCACAATTGACTAAGCTAGTTTCAGCAACTCTTACAAGTAAGAATTCGCAGATAGAATGTCGCGCACATACTAGCTTGGAAATTTATAGACTTTGTGAAATGAGTCTTCTGTTATCAGTAAGAGAGTTAAAATGCTATTGCAGTCTAAAAGCTTAGTCAGCACTTCGGTTTCTTTCTGATATCAGGAATTTCAGGAAGCAGAAAACTTGACCTCGCTAAGTGTGTCACTTGACCTCATTATGTAAGCTGACCTCGCAAATGTGGCCTGTGTCACTATCTGACCTCACACAATACATCTTTTCTTGTAATTTGAAACCACTCTTTCTTTCTTAATTATTTACCATCAATTCTACAATCAATTTTTAATTGATTGTAGAATAATTCTTTTCTCTCATCATGACCTTCATATATGAAGAAGACTTTACTGATCTTATTGATAATCACAATTCTTCTTCTAATACTGAGATTGTTCTTGAATCTGACAATGAGATAAGTATTTACATAATTTACACTGAATTGATTGTTAACTGGTTTTCAATTGATTGCTAATTGTTTAAACACACAGATTGAGTCTGTTTCTATCTCTCTAACTGATGCAACTGTCCGTTCAATATGTACCTCTAAAGTAGAGTACAGTCATGACCTGCCTGAGTATTCTAAGACTCATATGCAAGGATATACATATGTGATATCAACTGAGCCTTTAAATGTTGAGAAAATGACACAAATGATGAATGATGTAGGTAATCTAAATCAATTCTCAATTAATTAACAATTGACTAACAATTGATTCAGATTCAGTACGGAAAAAGTTCTGTTCACTCATTCAAAGAAATATATTGCTCTTTTCTTCATTCTAGAGTGAAGAAGTATAAGTTCAAATGCACTGGTGTCAAAGTCTGTCAATATTTAGATCAAAATTTATATTTTGCATCTCATAATGAGGTTACAGAGGAAATATGGACAAATATTCAACAACTGCAGAAGAGTATTCAGTTGATTGAGAATGATCAGAGAAAATGCAATGCTGTTAGGTATGAATTGATTGTTAATTGATTGAGAACTGATTGAGAGTTGATTGACAATTGATTCATTAGCTTTACACGGGCGATTCGAGCGCTGTTTCAAGAAGGAACTTCCTGTATGCGATTTGCAGAAACCTGTGCACCTGTGTTTCATTGACATGAGATTCCTGTATGATTTATTTAGCTCTCAATTGATTGATAACTGATTGCTAATCAATTAGCAGGATGTCACTGAATATCATGCTTTATTTATTTCTTGTGTGAATTCTTTCAGACAATCATATTCATTACTTCTTTCGACCAGTACAAGGAGTTACACAGATGAACATTGAATTTCTTGAAAGAATCTTGTAAGAAAATCTTTTTTTCATGAAGAAGAAATGTGAAGTTATGAAACAATCAAGAAGCACAAGAAAGTTTTGTGATAAGCAATTCTCAATTGATTCTCAATTGATTGATAATTAATTATTAGAATTTAATCATTCTGCTGATCAGAGAACAATGCAGAAATTATCTTACAATGTTATTTTTCATGTTATAATTTCAGTAAATTCAGCAAACTGTTCTTATATGCTGTTTATCTCTCATGAAAATTATACACATTCTCCTCCTCCTCTCAACAAACCACCCGCAACAATTATGAACCGAATTCTCACCTTGATTCAAGAAATGCGAGAATCAAATATGACATTGTGTGAGTTCTAATTGATTCTCAATTGTTTTTCAATTGATTGAATATTGATTGTTTTTAGCATTCTTTCTCAAAAGTCCTGCTTTACAGAAATTTTGTGATGAGCATAATAGTCAGAGTCTGGCTGAAATTCACATCAGTTTTACCAATATGAATCGATTTCGAGCTATACTACAAAAACAACAACTATTGAGTTTTCCTGCAGGTCAAGATTACAATGGAGTTCTATTTCAACTAGATCAAAATTCAGCTTTGAAGGTAGAATCAATTTTGAATCAATTTACAATCAGTTACTAATTGATTGTATATAGAACTATGTACAGAACATTCATCAGAATGAGAAAGGTTTGATGATTATCTGTATGTTAAAAGAACAAGCAGCTCTTCTTCTTAGTCTTTCATCTTTTGAAGTTGATATGTCATACAAACATATTAAATCTTCAAAAATGAATGAGGTGATCTTTGCAACATATCTTCCTCAGCATGGAAAAAGTGAGTGCTTTTTGAAGTATTTATTGATTGATTCACAACTGATTGGCAATCAATTCATGATTAGTTATTACCTTGTGTCGAATCTTTACAGAGCAGGAAAATCCTGAGAGATATTATCACTTATTTCAACAAACATTTGCAGTAGTACAAAAGCTGCAGAATCAATCTGTTTCTTTTGACTATCTGCATGAATTGGAGATACAGGCAATTATTGCGGATATGTGCACAAAACAGATGACTGGTAATTGATTGATATTCAATTGGCAATCAATTGACAACCCTCTGCTAATCAATTCACTTAGGCCTAGCACAATATCTTGCATCTATCGACCCTGAACATCGATCATTTGATTGGCAACTGAAGAATATTCTTATCTTTTATCATATTCATTTTTTCCGCAGCATTTCCAACATAGTGGGAACTCAGAATCAAGGTACCTCAGCTTGGAATCATATGACAAGTCTTTTGAATTGCAAATCCCAGGATGACTATATGAAATTATGCAATTTATTGATTCGTAAGTAATTCAAAAGTAATTGACAATCAATTACTAATTGATAGATAGGACATGAGTCGGAAAAAATTCAAAATTGGGCTGTTTATAAAAAAATGGTGTTATTGCTTCTGGATTGAATAAATATTATAGTTTGATACCTTGTGCAGTGTATGATTCAGTTCGAAATCATACAAATGCTGCAGAGCAGACTCATAACAAGTTCTATGCTTTTGAAAGAGGTTAAAGTCTTCTTCAGAGAGTACTGAGGTGAGTGAAGTAGTTGTTAATCATTTATCAATCAATTGTCAATCACTTATTAATCAATTCATTCATTAGTGATTGAAAACTGAATAAACAGAATATGCTTCAACACAAAGCTTGCAGTAAACATGGAATTCATCATTTCTATTGTACAGATACTATGGAGGCTCATTATCAGCGTCATATTAGATGAGAAGGTATGTTGAATATAATACAATCAATTGTCAACTGACTGACAATTGATTAGAATCTCAGCGACGAAAACGCGCCCGAGTTCCATATAATGATGAGATTATTGATTTGAATGATGATGACAGAGCTTCTGTCTCATCAGTTCAGATAATATCTTCATTATTGAGATCAAGATCTCAATCTTCATTGCATTCAGTTGTTTCACGAAAATCTATGTCACAAACACAGAGATCAACTCTCAGGTGTGTAGAAATCAGTTGTTAATTGATTATAAGATGACTAACAATTGATTCTGAATCAATTCTGAATTGATTTAAAGAACTTCAAGTTGAACTCTCCGTCATGTAGCATCTGCAAATCTTACAGAATATATACAGGATGCAGATTTAGAAAGAAGAAGACAGCTTCTTGTTATTGAAAGAGAGAAGTTAGAGCTTAAGAAGTTAAAAGAGAAGGTGTGAGGTCAAGAGCTGAAAAATGAAGAAAGAATGATTGAGCTTGAAGAGAGAAAGTTGAGACTGAGACAGCAGAATTGATTAAGAATCAATTCTGTTTATTTTATAATGTTCAGTATTTTTCTAGCTAAATCAATTGACAATTGATTTGAAATTGATTCACAATTGATTGAAAAATAAAATTCAATATTTTGAAAATTTAATATCTCAATCAATATTAATCATATAATAGTGGAAATAAATTTAAAATATTATATTTTTAATTTTTTATACTTTTTATTATAGAAGAATTTTTATATTTTTATATATATTAAATTAAATTAAAATTAAAAATATTATTAAATTAAAAGAGAAGTATAATTTAAATTAATTAAATATAAAATTCTTATTCTTAACTAAGATAGAAATTAAATACTTAATAAACTTTCTATCAGTAACTTAAGTAATTAAAAGAAAATAATTAAATTTAGAACTATTTAAATATAAAAAGATAAAAATTAATTAAATATAATTTATTACAATAGTTATATACTCTTTTTAAATATATTTATTTTATTATTGTTTTTTCTTGTAATTTCTATTCTTTTTTTTTTATTTATTATATTTATTTTTAAGACTTTATTTCTTTTTCTATATTATATTACTTTTTCAATAATTTTAAAAGTATTAAAAGATAATAAAAATACTGTAATTTATAAGAGATTTTTATATTCTAAGTTAAAATTTTCTAATTTTATATATCTGAAATTAATAAATATTTAATAATAAGCTTTACAGATACTAGAAAAACTCTAAAAATTAAAAGTTTTCAAATAGATATTATAGTCTTTAATTATATATATTTATAATAAAATAATAATAATAATAATAATAACTTTATTATTAATATATAAAAAAACTTTAAAATTAAAAAATAAAAACTTAAGCTTTATAAATAATTTATATAATTAATTTATTAATAAAATAAAATAAAACTTAATATAAATTATTAATTATTAATATTATTTATTTAATTAAAATTTATAAAAATTTATAAAAATTTTAAAATTAAGCTTTTTTACTTTAATAATATAATAAATATAATAAAAAAGTTATTTAATTATAAATATATTTAATTAATAAATAAGTATAATAATTATTTAAAAAATATTAAAATTAATTATTTTCAATTATTTTAATATTAATTTAATATAAATAACTTATAATAATTTAATATTATTATTATTATTTTAATTTTTATATTTAAATAATAATTTATAATTTTTAAATATTTTATTAAAGTAATTATTATTTTAATTTTTATATTTAAATATTAATTTATAATCTTTAAATTTTTTATTATAAATTAATTAATAATTTAATAAGATATTTATTTAATATTATTTATATAAATAGTAAGAAATATTTAAAAAAAATTAAAATTAAACTTTTACTATAATAAAAAAATTTAAAATTAATATTTTTAAAATAATTTATAAATAAATTAAATTACAGATAAAAAGTTTATTTAAAACTATAAAAAACTATAAAAATAAATATATATAATTAATATTATTATTAAATTCAGTTAATTATTTTATATTAAATTATTTATTAAGTAAAAAACTTATATTTAAAAATATAAATTATATATAATAATAAAATTAAAAGAAATAAAAGTATAATTATAAATAATAAAATTTCTATTATAATATATATTATATAGATAAAAAAATAAATCTTATTTTATTCTTTTAAAATAAAAATAAGTAAATATTTATATATATATATACTTATTTATTTATTATAATTATTTTTATAAAAGAAAGAAGTAAAAGTTTTTCTTAAATAAATAAAAGTTTTT